TCTCTCTACTAGCACTTCAAGAGTAATGTATATGATCTCCAGTTCTCAAATCCTACTAATGCCTTAAGTCTTCTAATGCTGGTTGCTACAGGCAACAGATCCTCAACCTCCTGGGATCTATATGAACAACTTTGTGATGGTTTCGTGCACCACTGGCCCTTTCAATTCGCTCTATAGTTTACTTTTCTGCAGTATCTAGTGGTGATACCTCACTAAAGAACTCCTTCTTTCAAATCATCTCAGTCTAACAAATAATTCTGACTGCAAGCTAATTCTATGTCAGACCTGATGCAACAAAAACTGGAAACACAGGGATGAGCAACGTAAAGGGAAGCACTGGGTTTCAAAGAGAGCATGAGCTACCCTGAAATCAGGTTCAAGAACAATAATTAGGGTGCCTTTCAAATTGTCAACTAAGAACCTATTCCATTCTTTTAACATAGGGAGGCAGTTACCCTGAGTTGGAATTATCTCAACAGCAATGTATTTTTATTTTGTTTTTCTCTTTTAACTTTCATATACTTGTACTCCCCCAGACTCTTGTTCTCAGCCTCTTTTACCAAATTTTTCTTTCTCTACTTGGCTATTCAATAATATTCTTTCCAACGTGTTCATGTTCAGTCACTTACTCTTTACTGCTTTCCCCTCTATGCCTTGGAAGTATCTAATTTCAAGACTAACACATTGCCCATCTTGATTATAGCAAATCTCCCTCTCCAAATTCACCTTTATCCCTGTGATTTTATGTTCTTCTATCTCTTCCCAGATATTCTAAAATCAAAAGGGCCAAGACAGAATTTCTTATCTTCTATCTCAAACCTATTCTCTTCTCTTAACTTCTTTAGCATCCACTTAGTTGTTGTTGTTGTTGTTAGGTGCTGTTGAGTATGACTCATACTGATGCCGTGAACAAAAAGATCTGAACCCTGTTCTGTCCTGCACCATCTTCACACTTCCTCAAACACAAGAGCCCATGCAGCAGTCACCATGTCAATCCACCTGGCGGGGGGGGGGGGGGGTGGTCTTCCTCTAGCCTAGTTTACAACTCATTCTCACTTCCTTGCCACCCGACTGGCCTTTAACGGCTATGTTTTCTGTTTTTAACTCATCTCCTTTCCTGTCTCATCCTTCATACTGACACTACTACGAAAGCTGTGCTGTCAGCCCTCATCATATCCCTTCTGGTCTATTGGAACAGTCTTCCAACATAACCTACGCCTCCATTCCTTCCCAGCTCTAAGTCATCATTTGTCCTGCTTTCTCAAAAGATAGGCTCTATCACTCACTTCTTATAAATCTTGATGATTCTCTAAAATCCAGCCATTATCAAGGCATAAAATGCATGCCAATATGGTAGTTCCTGACCACATATGACTATTCAACTGTATTAAAATGAAATACAATGAAATATTCCACTCCTCAGATACACAGATTCCAAATGCTCCACAGCTCATCCACAAATGTCACATCTTCGGCAAAAGCAAAAACTTCTAAACCCAAAATATATAAAATGAAGAGTCCAGTGTATTCCTGGAGGATCCCTATTATATTTCTAGACTATTCCTTGTCCCCCTCAGACTGTAACTGTTTATAAAGTGCCTCCTGTACTCACCTGAGCCTCTAAGGTTAAATTCAAGTCATCATTGTAAACTGTGCCTTGCATAGATTCCACCACATAGTTGTTGTTGTTGTTATTATTGATTGCCACTGAGTCAGAATGGACTCAGCTTATCCTCCAATGAATTTTCAGAGGCAGCTAATTGCACGAGAGAGGACAGACTGCCCATCCTTCTCCTGCGTAGCAGCTGGTGGGTTTGAACATTGTGTATTTTGGATTGCAGCGCAGGTTCTTAACACTAGGCCACCTGAGCTCCCTAGTGGACACTCATTTATTCCCCTTTCTTTCCCTTAAGCATTACTCTCATTGGCAGCTTAAGCAGAAATAAACCATAAACTCAGTTCATAAACTTGACATAAAGTAAAATGGGCCAGTCTCATCTTCCTCTTTCCAAGAACTGACCCTGGCAGCTCTCTTTTTCCCTCCTCTCACCCTCCCTTCCCAGATCAGATTCAGTTCCTGCCTTTTAGAACTATGGGGAAATAGTCTGGCAAGAGCCACTGTTGTACCAGCTGATTTAAATTGAAATGTTTTCCCCAGATAAATGTGTGCTAAATAATACACCAGCTCTCCAGCCAAAGGGAAGTGACAGGCGCTCTGTAAATAAAGGCACTTAGTTGCTGGTAAAGAGCTGTAAAGTGGTTCTGAGCTGATGTTTGCTGACCAGCAAGAAGCAGCTTCACCTGCTTTATATAATTGTCACTGCAGTCTTGCCTGCTGTATATTAAAACTGCATCTCATAGACCCAACTGTCACATCGGATATACCATCCAGCGCAGGCTATGCCACCTTTCACTGTAATTGTTTTTGACAAGCAGCCATCATGTCTCAAATCTTTTCTGAAAGTGTCTGGTCCAGAATCCCTAGGCTGGGTCAGTTCTGACACCATGTGGGCTGGAAAAGTGACACCAAAAAGGAAAATTAAGAGGAAGGACAGGCGGTAGGAGAAGTTTGGCTCGTTGAAGAGACCTAGTAACACACAGTGGAGTGTCCACACCAGGACTCTACCTTTTTGATGTTAAGACCATGTTTCATGTTGAATTTTTGATCTTCAAATACTCTGAAAGCATGCATGATCTATTGTAAACCAAGGGCACAGGCATTTGCTGTGTTTGCTGGGTTCTGGAGAGACGGTATCAGCACTCTCCAGAGAGAGCTTAGGTCGAGCTTTCAGAAAGGACTGTGGAAGGCTGGGATGGCGGTGGTGAAAAATATCTGGAGTCATCATACCAGGGGAGCTAATTTTGCTTCCTATAATGAAAACCAAACTCATAACTGTCAAGTTGACTCCAATTCACAGGGACCCCAAATGCTGGGGTCCAACTGCTCCATTGGGTTTTCTGGGTATTGTAGATCTGGCTGCTCTGGGGAGGATTTGAACCACCAACTTTTAGGTTAGGAGTAGAGTACAAAATATATGGAGCATACAAGGGCCTGAAAATGAAGAGTATCATGAAATCCTTTTAGTGTCCCTGTAATTTCAATCCTCCTCGAGCATGACCCTGCCAAATACACACACTTGAAGGAAATGAATTTTGTTTGCTTGTCAGTTAGTTTTCTTATCTCATTAGCTAGAGTTCTCATGGACAATTCTAGAAACCAGAGCACTACTATTTCAATTATAATAAGGGTTACCCAATGTGAACACACGTAGCAAAGCTTCCAGACTAGCACAGACTAGGTAGGAAGAAGGCCCTGGCAACATTCTTCTCAAAAATCAGCCCAGGAAAAAGTGAGCGATCACAGGAGAACACTGTTCAACTTGCTTGCTCTGGCTTTATCTTCAGTTGATATCATGGACTGGAGCATCAGGTTAGGTGAATCAGGGAACCATCAAGGGTGAGGACTCTCAGTGAGACAGACTGATACAATAACTGGGACAATGGTATCAAGTACGCTGGCAACAGTCAGGATGAAGCGGAGAAGGAGAATATTTCATATTATTGTGTCTAAAGTCACCATGAGTCAAAGTCAACATGCAGGAGCTTTCTATGCTCCCTTAACCTTGGATCCTGTAATGGTGGGACTCAGGAACTCATCTTACACCTGATAACACCCACTAACTACATCATAGAAGACAATATCACTATATTACATGGTAAACCTATAAAGAGGTATTAGTCAATGCTTCACATTCTGTTGTGCCAAATTCCTGAGAGCTGTGGTCATTTGGATCCACAATCAACACTCAAGGTGCCAGTGATGCTATACTGGGAGCATCTGCTGTCACGGATCTTTTTAAAATGCTAAAGAGTAAAAGACGTCCGTTTTGAAGCATAAGATGTGCTTTCTGCACAACATGGTAATTTGCTTCCTATGCATCTGAAACTTAACTAAGAAAGACCAAAGAAGAGTCAATGCCTCTGAATTGTGATGTTGGAAAAGAGTATCGGTTGTACCACGGAATTCCAAGAGAACAAACAAGTATTTTTGAAAGAAGTACAACCGGAGTTGCTTCTTCAGAAGCAAGGATGGTGAAATAACTTTTCAGACATGCTGCTAGGAGAATTGGGAAAAGATATCATGACAGAAAAAGAGAGGAAGACTCTCAGCAAGATGGGCTGACACAGTGACTGTGTCACAATGGCCTTGAGCTTGACCGAGTTCATGAGGATGATGCAGGACAGGGCAAGGTTTGGATCTGTTCTTCACAGGGTCACTATGAGTCAGAAACAACTTGATAACACCTACCAGCAATGACCATTTGTGACAGGGTTGTTTCTGTGCTCCATTTCTAAGACTTGTAGATGACATATTTTCTGGTCACCACCTGCCTAGGCTCCCGAGTAGATGACAAGGGAGACTGGGGAGCAGAGCAGAGAAGACACTGTGTGTCATTCATTACTCCTGTGCCTCCTTAGAAGAATGCATGGGCTGACAAGGGTCACATGTTGCCATATGACTTTTAAGGTTTATAGAGTCCCCTTTCTACAATGCTCACCATTCCTTGACCGATGACATCTCAGACACAGCTGTAATAATAGCAAAACATAATACCTCTATCCTAGGTCAATGGCAAAAATATATTGGGACATATCACTGTAACTCTTAAGTCAGTATGATTTTAAAACATTCTAACATTTAGCTGTTGACCCCGGTCATAAAGCCATTGTTTGAGAAGGCTTAGGAGGTGACAATTTAAAGACATGCTCATCTCACAGACAGCCTGATCTGGCATGTGGCTGCTCAGGTCGCAAATCTGCTTCCCAGAAAGGTGAGAAGAGGCGGCAGATGCCCCTTTAAAAGCCATCCTGGCGCTCGGCAGGTTTCTCTGCCAGGCAGGCTGATGTGAGCCTCTTTGAATTACCAAGTGAAGGATATCCCTCTTGCCAGCCCCTGTCCCCCGCAGGCACAGCAGAGAAGTATTACAGGCTGTCCTTACCTTGGGAATTAGCCTGCAAGACCCCGATGCTGTCATCAAACTGCATAGATTTGATGTTGAGTGACGCCAAGATGCATTCCTTGTCCTGCAGCGAAGTATCATCAATATTATTCTGATTGGCTGACAGGATAACGCACATGTCACAGAGGTTGATGTTGACGGCCCTTAAATCAGCCCGACTTAATGGTGTACCCTTCGGCATAGAGAGGAGAAAAGGAGAAGAAGCAGAAAAAGTGAGACCGAGGGAGGAGAAGGCAAGCGGAAAAAAATGAAAACAAATTCAGGATTGAGCAGGAGCTTTGGGAAATTATTTAACAAGTATCTTTTTTATGTCTTGACATTAAGCTGGCCTAACTGCATTCAAGGGAATAGGAACTGTGTGCTAATCTAAAGGGTAGTTGGTGCTGATGGCAGCATTTCAGGCCTGCTCTCAATACTCAATCAAGCCATTACTAACAAGCAGCAAGAAGAACAATGCCAGCCTCCTACATCTTCTTCTCGCCTGGAGATTGTCTTGATTTAAGTAACTGTCCTGTGGCAAACTCTGGCTTTCAGACTGTAACGAGGGGCTGGGTTTCAAATGCCTGTTTATTTAATAGCAGGCCACTTCTATCTCAAGCAAAAGACAGCAGTTCTGACTAGAATCTCCTATGCAGCCAAGGGGAAGCAGCCAGGGAGGATGGTGTGATAAGGTGGGGCTGAAAGCTCCATCCAATTTAGAGGACATGGGGGGTTCGGGGATGGCGGGAGGCAGGTGAGGGAATGAATGCATTTATTCCAAAGAAGAGAAAAAAAGAATTATGCTTCAGATTATAATACATCATTACATCTTTCCAAAAGACAGTTTAAAATGGAAAAGGAAATTACCTAATTGTCTAACAAGAGAAGAATAGTTAAATATCCCATCAAAGATATCTATATATAATGAGATAAAGCATGGAGTGGGTAAATACATGGTGAAAATTCTCCATGAAGCCCCAACTTGGAAATGGAGTTGAACATGAAGTTCTGGAACAGTTCATAAAGTACGATTACATATATGGGGGGGGGGGAAGAAACCACCACCAAGCAAAACTACATATATATAAATGCATTTATAAATGTACATACATTCGTACAGCAAGCTTGGGAAAATATAGGAAAACACTAAACTAATAACAGTAATTACCTCTGGGGAGGGAAATGGGATTCAGAGGTGAAGGGGGAATTTTGTTTTTTACTTTATATACTTTTATCTTGTTTGAATATTTTATAACAAGAACGCACTTGTGTATTACTTGTATAATTAAAAATAAATAAGCCAGTAAACATATTTTTTAAGTACGATAACAAAAAACAGATAATGGGAAAACCTTGCATCAATGACAAGAGATAGGGAACGTGGCTCTCAGAGGAGAGGGGTATGACCCCATGACTGGGTCCTGAGAGGGACCCCAGCATTAACTTAGTAATGTAACATTCGAAATCTCCAGGCATCACATAGTGGCATTGTTTTGCATTCCCACCAGCTTCCAGGCCTGGCAGCCTGTGCTCAGCTCCTGCTCTGCCTGCATATGGCCCCCGTGGCCTGGTCTCTCTGACTGTATGGACTGGGTTCACCAGATGCTGTACCTGCTCATGCCTTCCTCTCACTCTCCTTCCTGGATATGTAGCTTTGGGAAGATGGAACTTAGCTGCAGAAATCAAGACCTCAACCCTCTTTTACAACTCAGTTATAATCCTATCCTCAGCACCAAAATAATGTTGCAGAGTGGGGTCAGGGAGGAAATGGCATTTAGTGTCAAGGGGGCTGGGAAGCTTCTAGCCTCTGGACCAGTTTCTTTTAAGAGATCATTTCCCGTGATATTTAGATATAAAACTAGTCTTATCACCTTTCTAAATCATTCTGCATGTGCATCAACTGCCTATATATCTTCCTTCAATTTTTCACCTTGTAGAGAATCCAGCTGTATATTTTGTTATCAAGCAACCCCTGTGCAATTGTATACATACCAAAACACAAGAAATACCAAAGACATACATAGCAATATCTTCAATTTATCTGAGCTAACCTTACCTGTGGGATATTGTTTAAACTATGTGAAAAGCCCACTCTGAACAAGTGTATTGTCTTCCACTTGGAAGCCTTGGAAAGCATCTGCACATATGAGCTGACTCACATACAAACATGTAAGTGAGGAGATGTGTACAAGAGATAGAGAAGAAATATATACACACAGAACAAACGTCACATATGTATACAATATAAACACAATGCACACCAAATATCACATATACCCAACACAAACAAATCACACACACATGCACATGTACTCATGTATCCAGGGTCTTTACAAAGACACTTTGGAAGCCTAGGCCAAAATATGCTCTCAAGTGACCACAGGAAAAGCATATACAGAAAGATAATTGTGGAAACATGTAATCATAGCTACCATGTTTCTGAAATTAACAGGGAATGTTCATGTTTGTCCATGTTCTTCCATGAGAATGAACATTTGCTTGTTGGTGGCTATGCTAAGTTTAGCTACATGTGTCCACAAATTCAGTGGCTTTTTGGGCACTTTATCCAAAGGTGACTTGTTAGATTTTTAATTTTTTTCAAGGCCTTAAATGTCTTTTTAAGACAAATGGTAGCTAAGAATGAGTTTACTTAAAGAGTCTGAAATGCCTTTTATTACATTTGTTGTTGTTGACTGCCATCAAGTCAAGTACAATTCATATAGAACCTATGAACAAAAGACCTGAAGTCTTTCTATAACTATTGTCATTTATCAAAGTTCATAGAGAATTAAATTACAATTACTTAAAGAAACTAGCTTAATTTTCAGAATATGCTGTTTTTCAGAAAGTGACGTCATATGTTTTTTCCAGTACTTGTCCAAAAACTCCCCTGGCCATGTGGAAACAGTCTATAAAACCAGTTGTATTCTATTATATACATGATTCTTCATGAATTTAAATTCTTTAGTATTAATCAAAAGACACATTTCTCAACTCCAGCTTATATTCCATATGTTTTTAGAATGAAAACCACAGAGGTAGCAAGCCAGAGTGGCATCCACTTCCCAAACAACATGCCTCTGGAAACTCTATGAACTTTATTACATTGTTGTTGTTGTTGTTATGTGCCATCAAGTCGCCTGCGACTCATAGCGACCCTATGTACAATAGTCCTAAACTCCGCTCTGTCCTGTGCCAATCGCACTGTCTCTGACACTCCCATCCCGATTATCCCAGTCACTGAATCAATCCACCTCATAGAGGGCCTTCCTCTCCTGTGCCGTCCCTCCACCCTCCCAAGCATGATGTCCCTCATTAGATAGGTTAATTAATTTCTTTCTGTATTTCTTGGGTTCTAGAAGCCAAGTGAAAGCAAGAATGAATTTCAGCTCCATAAGAAGGGAAGAAGAGGCCTTGAATGTACACCAAACACAGAGGCCTCAGTTTTAGAAATGTGAATTTCTAAGAAAAAAAATCCTGTAGAGGATCAGATGATATCTGGATGGATTTGTGAAATGAAGAAATAGATCAAATACTTAAATGAGTTATATTCTATAATTTTGTCCCATATCCTCTGAACTATGGAGTCACAAAGATCTCCTTTTAGATTTAGATCATAATGTTTTATAATCAGGAGCATCACAAATACATGTGCCTGTAGCTGTACACACACACACACACACGTACACACATACACAAGCACTGCTAGACTTTTAAATGAATGGAAGTCATGGGGTCTGTGAAGTGCACAGCACATGTAAATAAAGACCCCTGTTATGTATAGGCAGATACAAATAGAAAATGGTACAGATCTAGACTCTCCCATTAATTAAAATTAAATCTGTGAAACGCTATAAATAACTTCATAAGAGCATCCTATTTAACATCACAATACTGTGTTCGACAGTGATACGGTTAATACATTTGAAACCAACAAAATTTCATCCCTGATGACGGACTGAATCGAGCTGCAAATTTCTTCTAATAAGGTCTCTCAGGGTTTGCATTTTGTGTAGACAGAGAAGGGAGGAAGGGCTGAGTCCTCAGGCCCACAAGCAGATGAAGAAGCAGAAGCATGATCAAAGTTACAACTATTCTACTCATCTGGGATTTTCTGTTAGGAATGAAAAAAGAAGAAAGCGTTACTCATGTGATGACCTTGGACTTACAGGCAGTATGGACACTTTAGGGAAGTTGTGAAGCGTCTCCCATTCCCGCTTGAGGTACTCAATGGAGCCCACGAACACGATGTGCTTGAGCTCGTGGTAATGGAAGTTGCTGGCACGGAGTGGCATCACCAGATTCCGGAGCCCGATTAGGGCTGAGCTGACGTCCCCAAAGATGCAGACCACAACATGGCCACTCAGGACGGTCATGGCGGCTTCACTTCGAGTCTGCAAGGGGGACAAGTTCACAGCCATTGGTAATGAGACCTCCCAGGATGGTTACAGGAATAAAGGAAAACACTGTGGAAAGCACTTGGTACGTATGTGCTGAGTGCTCACCATATGCTGTTACATGTCACTATTTTTATTTCATCAGTGACACAGTGAGTGCAGCAATGTGTCAAGTGTGTCAGAGATGCTGAGGATGTCACAGGATAGGACAAGGTTCACATCTGTTGCTCATAACGTCACTATGAATCATACTTGACTTAACGGCACCTAACAACAACAGACAATCTCCATGACAATGTATATCTATAAATCTGAATATGATATTTATGAAAAAGTATACATAAAAATATATAATTCCCTGTCTGGTGGCATACAAAGCTAAATTGTCAGCTTCTAACCAAAAAGTTGGCTGTTTGAACCCACCTGGCTACTCCACAGGAGGAGATCTGGTGACCTGTCCTGTAAAGAGCCCAGAAAACCTTAAGGGCAGTTCTGCTCTGTCACATCCCCTCACTATGAGGTGAAAGTCAGCTCAACAATACTTAACAACAGGAGGGAATAAAACTAGAAAAGTACTTCATCTTTCAGAAGGGCTGAAACATTTTATCTTTGAGCAAATGTTATACCTGTGTGCAAACATCGAGCTGCTGGTGCGCTGCGTGCAGCAGCCCCAAGATACCTCCTGCTCACTGACTGGAGGGGGTGAGCTTGCCAACAATGATGACATTACCTTGAACTCAAAAAGCTCAATGCTGTTGAATCAGAACTGCCTCACAGTTGACCCCCAGAGGGCTGTCAGAGGCTATAAATCACTGGGGGAAGACTGCCTCTCTCTCTCCCATGGAACACTTTGTGGATTTCAACTTCAGTGTGACTGTCTATCCACCAGGCCAACCTCAATGTCCATCAAACTGTTGCTTTTTCTCTGTCTCTTGCTGAAATGATGGCAAAACAGTCAGAGATCCCTGTACAGGTCTCAGCTTGTGAAAATGCCCATTGAATTTCAGATTCACCCCTGAGCCAGTCCAGCACTCTGCTCTTCCCTATGACCTGGAACAGACACACACAAGCCTCTGTCCATGCCCCATGGGGCGGAGAATGATGTCCCATGCCAGAGCCTGCCACCTGTGACCCATGGGCCAAATCTGGTTCACCACTTAATTGTCTGTATGGCTGGTAAGCTAGGAACACTTTTTACATGGTTAGGGGGAGGAGAATAAAAAGATGACCATTTCACAACAGGTGAAAATTAAATAAAATTCAAATTCCAATAAAGTTTTACTGGAACACAGTCAAGCACATTTGTTTAAGTGTTGCCTGTGGCGGCTTCCTTGTTGCAAGGACACAGCTGAGCAGTTGCAACACAGATGGTACAGTGAGCAAAGCCAAACATACTTATGAACTGACTCTTACTGAATAAGATTGCTGATGCCTGTCTTCAGCCAATGAAGCTCTGGGGCTCCTAACCTGTACAATTCTTTCATAGAAAGCTCCTCAAATGATCATGACAAAGGCCTGCCATGGAAACTTATGAGTAGCCGTCTCTTGTCTGTCAATTAAGAGTTGCAGGTTTGATGATGCTTAACTGTTTTCAATGGAGCTTCCAGACTAGGAAAAAAAGCCTGGCAACCTATTTTCAAATATCTTTCAATGAAAATCTTATGGATTATACCAGACATTTTCCCAACCGAAAGATTAGGCAGCATTTTCGTCTACAGTACATAAGTCAGAGGTTGACTCAGAAACAGTCAACAGAAGTAGACCCAGCCAGGGAACATCCGTATCCTTTCCTAGACCTGCATCTGCAAAGGAGGCAAATCAGAGAACCACATCACACTAGGTGTAGTCTGGCCCCAGCTTAGCTGCTGCTGGTCCTGTTGGCCTCCATTCTGGCCTTCCTAGTCCCCTTCCTTCATGCTGCCTGCCTGGATGGCCCAATGGGATTTTGCAATGCTTTGGGGCAGGCATATTAATGTCCACTGCACATATCAAACTCTGCTTGATTTAATCCCTAGAACTGACTGCTGTATTGATTGTTTAAATGCCAATATTGCAATACACGACAATGTCAGGGTTATTACAGTAACCCCCAAGGAGAAGAGGAAGCTAGCTTTCACTCCTGATCATTAGACTAAAGCGGAAGCTGTCATCATTATTGGCTTCTCTCTGCAGTAGAGCAGGGAAACCTGAGATGCAGGCTGTAAGAAATGCCTTAAAAACAGCGGCCAAGTGAGGATCCACCGAGAACTGTTTCATGTAGAATAATAAAAGCTAGTGACCTCAGCTGCCAGCAAATGTCAGTGCCCGGATGCCACCAGTAGGGGTCAGCCAGTCTGTTGCACACTGGGATGGCTCTCCTAATTATTTTTAACTGGCAATGGGAAGCTAGTCCTCGTCAATAAGCCAGAAGAACAGAAACTAGATCCAGAGAGGGGGCTTGAAATCGAGAATGCAGAAGTGGGGAAGGGACAGTTAGCAAAGGGTTGGGGCACAAATGCTGGTCCCAGGAGCTCTGGGATCCCCAGGGCCATCACTGCCATCCACAAGAAAGGTAATTTGTCAAATATTATAAGATAGTTGCTAGGAAAGATCACAAGTATTCCAGGCTTAGCATCTGCTTCTATTCTGTTTTATTTAAGAATATGGCATTGTCATGAACACATAGCAATATGCAATAGCACTCGGGTTTTCTCATACCATTCAAAAACACTAACAGGCAATTGTATGTTGGGTCAATTCATATGTTGGGTTCTGTTCTAAGCCCCCCTTTTACAGGTGTTTAACCTGCACTACTGGCTCCTAAATTGTTCCAACAGTTCGCCTCCAAAGCTGTGTGTGTCTATGAGGTAAATGCTACCACTCCCATGATGCCTGATATTGGCTGTACATGGCAAGTCAGCAAGAACTGTTGTAATTAGAGAGTAAATACATAGATCTTAGACATTCCAGTCTGGTTTCTGTCTTGATTAGCATTCTAGATTCTTCATTATTGTTGTTGTTAAGTGTCATCAAGTTGAGTACAACTCATAATCACCCTACGAGCAACAGATCTGAACCGTGTCCTCTCCTGTCCTAGCCTCATCCTCTCTGATACACTTGGGCCTATTACTGCAGTCAACGTATCAATTCATCTCGTCGAGTGTCTTTCTCTCTTCTGTTGACCTACCACTTTTCCAAGTATGATGTTCCTTTCGAGGGAACAGCCCCTCCTAACATTATAGAGTGCTCTGGTGGCCTTGTGGTAAGAAGCTGAGCTGCAATCCCAGTGGTGTGTGGTTTCAATACACTGGCTGCTGAGAAAGAAAAGATGGACAGTCTACTCCAGTGTGATTTATAGCTTCTGAAAACCCACTGGAGGGTCACAATATACGTCAGTTCTGACTCGATGATACACAACAACAACTACTACTAAAACAACATTATTGTTGTTGCTGTTTTTGTTAAGTACTGTAGAGTTGGAACAGCCGATAGATGAACCTCCAGGGGATTTTCAGAGGTGGTAAATCACATGAGAGGAAACTGTCCATCTTTCTCCCACACAGCTGCAGACAGATTTGAACCACATGTGTTTGGGTTGATGGCATGGCTCCTTACTATTAGGCCACCAGAGCTCTTCCTAACAACATCGTGTACCATGAAGTCAGAACTGACCCACAGCTGATCCTCCTTGTGGGTTTTCAGAGGAGAGTTAACTGCGTGCTCATCCTTCTCCTGTGGAACAACTGGTGGCCTTGAACTGCATGCCTTCAGGATTGCAGTGAAGCTTCTTGCCTCTAGACCACCAGAGCTCCTTGTAACAACATTATATGATCCTAATTTCAAGGTTTTAAAACAGTTCATATCAGTGACTAAATAACTGCACCATTCAGGTTGCAAACCTCATTTCTGGCCAATGGAGGTTGGGCAGCAGCAGAAGGTGCTGGCCCCGAGGGCTGTCACTCACCAGAATGACTTTCTCTATCTCCTTGGCTGCGCACCAATGAAACATCCCTGTGGAATCATACTTCTTCACGTTGGAGTCCATGTTGTCGATCTGCTCATTGCCAGGAATTAACAAAGGGTCGTGCCTGGTAGAAAAAGGGACAGAAAAACTTAAGTGGAAAAACTAATAAATTATAAATGGAAAGTATCCCCAGAGTCACATCTCAGAGGAGATGAAAGACAGAGGGGAAGTGATGGTCCCTGGAGGTCACTCCTCTGCTTTCAGAACCTATCCCTTGAAAGACAACTTCCCAAACCACCACCACCACGCACCAGGGAGTGCAGCTGATCTGTTTCAGATGCTAATTCTTTCTCTTGTTCTTTTGTCTTAAAAATGGCTTTCATAATCTGCTGTAGATTCAGACATCTTTTTTTATGGTTATCTCATTTCTCCCTCTCTCACTTTGCCAGCTCTCCAATCTCTCCAACATACACACAAGTACAAGTACACACACACACATACCCCAAAGGGTTGCTATTAGCATTGGCAATGAAGAGGAAGGAATAGGAACAGAGCCTCATGCTGGCTGACTGGCATGAGGATGGAAAGCCAATTACTTGCTCCTTCTGACTACAACTTCTGACGTGATGCTCTTCGCAGTAAAAGCTTTAACAGGCTGCACTTTAAATATTTTAGCAATTTGCCCAATCAGATTTTGCTCTCCCAGGCTGAAGCCCTTTAAAGATTCAGCAGCATGTCACTTCAGAGCAGATTGACTACCAAATGCCCACATCTGGAATACATGATTTCAATATTAAACAACAACCCTCTCTCCTTGCCTTGACAACTGTATTTGCACTCACAGACCAACGACTGTCTCCCTTTCCCCCTCCACTCTCATGTCCAACTCCAGCACTGAATGAGAGCTGCAAGCTCAGAAGCAGTTTAATAGACTTGTCTTAAATTATCAAGGCTACATTTACCTACATTTGCCTTGTTAATGGTGGAAAGGGAAGCTGCTTCAACTGAGTGCTTAAGACCTCCCTCCAATAAATTGGCAGAGTAATCTTTAGAATCACAATAGAATAAGTCTGGTCCCACATCCTTGGTTCAATCCCATTGTCTGGGATTCTGTCTCTGTTAGAGACCCTCTGCCTTTATTTGGGGAAGATCATTGTTGGTTCCCATAACACTGAATAAAATTAGGACACTGTCTCAAGTATACCAGTTACACTTCCAGCTGAGCTAGCTTCCCTAAATACTACTGTTAATCTAAGATGGAAAATAGCAATAAGTTTTAATTCTTACTTTAAATTATTTTATCCTTTAAATCATGTACTTCAAGCATTAAAAGTTGGCCTCTGTTTCATTGTTAGTATTTCTCATTCTAACACTTCTCTGTTCTGGCACTTCATTAATCATGGAGAGTTACTATGTTTCTAGGTTTTGCTTTTGTTGGTAGTAGTGGTGTTGGTATTCAGATGGGGTATGCTTTGGACTTGGGTTCATGGAGGACGGTTTTCAATGTGGCATCATTAAACTCTGCTCTGGGGCCACTGTTTGCTCATTTTCCTGATCAAACCTCCACCCTTTGGTCTTCCCACACCCTTACTCTCCACACAGAGAGAATGGAACAGTAAGCTCTCCTACAAACTCCTTAGACCTAGCATTAAGCCTCTATCTTATTTATTGTAACCCTCTCACTATGTCCTAGGCTCATCGAAGATGGGATGATTCTATCACTACGTTGACTTATTCCTGAGACTTGGCTTTGTAATTATATCAAACGACAAACATTTCAACATTTTATTTCTAATGACCGTGCTAGAATACTACAGGGACTGCCATATAGGATCTTCACAGAAAAGCAACTCAATTCATCACAGCATGTCAGTGGCTGCGTTGTTTGGTGGTTTCAAGGACTTGTCAACCACTAAATCACCTTGCAAAACTGGAACTAGGCCAAAAATGTTCAAATCAAAAGACACTTGATAAGACGTGCTCACAGATCAGGGCAAGAATGAATTTTGATTTCTTTTCCTAGTGGAATGAGCTGTCAACTCAACGATGGGCATCTCAAATCCATCAGCTACTCTGGGAAGAAAGATGGGCAATATCCTTCCATGTGATTTTCTTGCTTGGAAAACCCAACAGAGCAGAAGTGAGAAAGGATCCTTGAGGAATCCTGAGTTGTGCCACAGAATACACAATACTGGGCAAAAGTAAAAGAGGTTTGAGACAAATAATAGAATGATTTCCCCCTCAGAGAAAACAGATTTTATTTGTAACAGGATTTTAATGAAGTTGTTGTGAAGACACAGAGATAATTTCAAATCTTCTTTTTTGGCTTATTTGTGGAAAAATGTCTCAAAGACACCTAGAATATACTAACGGTGGCCAGAGAACTTCTCTTGATACATTTAGGACGTAATATTTGTACATAATTAGGCTTAACCTAGGTCAAGGTTCTGATTTTTACTTTAGAGGGTCATTATGAGTCTTAGTTGACTTGATGGCACCTAAAAAGAAAAACAACCATGTTCTACAACCAGCAGCAACTCTTTCAGCAACCCAACCAGTTGGGGCTGTAGCCATTGAGGCTACAGTGAAATGGGATGCTGGTCTTTGAAGATCAGACTTGAGAGTTAAAACAGTATTCTCAAGCCTCCTTGAGTATTCCTTCTAAAAGAGAGGGAACACTGGTGGCTTAGAAGTAAGGAACTGGGTGCCAATACGAAGGTATGTGGTTCAAATCCACCAGCTTCTTTCTGAAAGAAAGATGGGCAGTTTCCTTCTGTGCAATTTACAGCCTCTAAAAACATGCTGGAAGGCGAGTTAGGGTCTGTTCCAATTCCATGGTACACACAACAATATGACAGATTAAGTATTTGTTTGTGTTTTCTGTACTTTTGAGTTAGAACTATCTCCTAGCAGGCTTTCAGAGACCATGAACTGTAAGGGAAGAGATCGTCTATCTTTCTCCTGCAGAGAAGCTGGTCAATTCAAACCCTGTGCCTTGGGATTGACAGCTCAACTCCTTATGCACCTGATTCAAGTCATGGTCTTTTGAATCATTTGTCGTGCATCTGAAATCTGGACAATGACTAAGGATAACAGGAAAAGAATTGATGCCTTTGAGCCATTGTGTTGGAAAAGAGACCTGAATATTCCATGGACTGCCAAAAGAACAAGCAGATATGTCTTAGAGAAAGTACATGCAGCCAGAATGCTCTTTGGAGGCAAAGATGACAATCCTTTGTCTCACATACTGTGGCTGTATTGTTAGGAGAGGTTATTCCTTGGAAAGGGCTATCAGAGGGTAGGTGAAAGAGAAGACCTTTAACGAGCTGTATTGGTACAATAACTGTAAGAATGGGGTTGAGTGTGTCAGAAATTATGAAGATGGCGCATGCTAGAACAGGGTTTAGATCTGCTGTTCACAGGCCTGCTATGAGACGTACTCAACTTGACAGCCCCTAACAAAAATAGCGCAGTCACCAGAATGTTCATTGAAGACAGCTTAGAACCAAAGCTGGCAAGACTTCATCGCATATACTTGGCCTTGGCAAGAGCGGACTGAAAAGGGACATGCTTGGTAAAACTGAGGATCAGAAAAAACAGGAATAGCCTCAACATGATGAACTGATACAGTGGCTGAAATAATAAGTGCAAACCTAGCAATGATGGTGAGAATGGCACAAGACTGGAAATGTTGTTGAGCATGGAGTCCCTGTAAGTCAGAATGGCATCTGACAACAATGTATGCACATAATACCAGCAAACAAGGGGGGGGGAACCAAGCAAGCTGTTCAAAACTCATTTTAGTAAATGTGTGTCCCTGATGTCCTAGTACATAGAGTGTCACACTGTCTACCCAAAGGCCACACCTCTGTGGCTGCTGGAATCCAGCTACCCTGCGGGAGAAAGATGAGCAATCTTCTCTCTGTTAGATCTGCCGCCTCAGAAACCAGGTGGAGGAGTAGCCTTAAGGTGAGTCCATGGTTACAGTCACTCCATCTATCTCTGTCCTTGAGGGTCATCCCCTCTTTCTCTAACCCTCACTGACCTTTACTAGCATGATGTATTTTCCCAAAGACTGGCTTCTGATAATATGCCCAAAATACATAAGACAAAGTTTTACTGTATTTGCCTGTAGGCAGTGCCCTGTTTGCTCTTCATACATGATATATTTATTTGTTCTTTTGGCAGTCCATGATTTACTCAGAACTCTTCAACAATACCACAATTCAAAGACAATGATTCTCCTGTCATCTTTATTCCTGTCCAACTTACAGAAAGTTATGAAGCAACTGAAAATACTGTGACTTGGATCAAATGCACCTTAGTCTTTAAACTGACATCCTTGCTCTTTAGTACTTGAAGAGGTCCACGGCAGCAGATTTTCTCAATGCAACCTGTTTTTTGATTTCTTAACTGCTGCTATTATGGGTGCTGATTGTAATTTCAAGTAAAATGAAGTTAACTGCCAACTTTAATGTGTATATATCTATCATGATGTTGAGGTGTAATTCATATTGAAGGGTAGAGTTTTGATCTTCTGCAACAAGTGTTTCGAGTCTTCATTTACTGTAAGCAAGATTATGTCCTCAGTGTAAGGCACATTGTTAATGCTTCTTCCTCCAATTTTGATGCCACATTCTTCTCCATGTAGTCCTTTTTCTAAATTATTTACTCAGCATACAGATGGAATAGATGTGGAGAATATGTCCCTGACACACACCTCTCCTGATTTTTAAACCATGCAGTATTTCCTCTGTTCTGTTTAGAAAACTGTTTCTTGGTCTATGTATAGCATTAGCATAAGCAAAATTAAGTATTCTGAGATTCTCATTCTTCTCAGTGTTAGCCCTAATTTGTTATGATCCACACAGTCAAATACCTTTGCATAGTCAAGAAAACACAGATCAGTATCGTTCCAGTATTCCCTGCTTTCAGTCAAGATCCATCTGACATCAGCAACGCTATTCCTCATTCCACGGCTTCTTTTAAATACAGCGTGAATTCTGGAAGTTCCCTATCAATGTACTATTCCAGCCATTTTGCCATGCCCCTCCCCTCGAAAGCAAGTGTTATTGTCATTTTATTAATTGAGTACTAATATACCTAAGTATTCTTTTTATCCTG